GCGTGTTTTTTTCCATAATTTTGCAGTCGGCAAAACTGAAAATTGATGCCGGTATTGTTGCTAGGCAACATTTTCTTGTTATTGTGTAATGAGAATATACTTTTTAATCGCGTGAAAAATATTGTTTTTGTGTTATTATCACAAGGTTATTTAATAAAGGAAATAGAAAACATTTTTTTCCTGGGTTTCTCTAGCGTTATAGAAACACTTGTGCTAGTTTGGGAGAACTCGAAATATCCCAAACTAGCACGCGTGTTTCTATATAGAAACACGGAAAATGTTTTCTATTTCTTAAATATTATACAGTCACTATTATTATATGCTTCAGTTCTTTTATAAAGCTCTTGATAAGCGAGGCAAACTTTTGTAACTTTCTCAAGTCAAAAAATCGCATCAAGCTTTATCGATTTGACTTTCAAACACACATAAATAACTGATATCGCAAAACGAAGTTTACCCTAGGGTATAAAACCGTAGGAAGGATCAGATATCGTATACGTAAAAGAAACGTTCAATAACAAATATGGCTGCCTGTTTGTATTGAATTGTCAGCAATATTTTACGTTTATTTTGGCTAATATCTCTACAATTTTAATTGCACAAGACAATTCTACACGCTCACAATGTAGAAATAAAACATAAGTTGTGTTTTGTGCAAAATCGTAGCAATCGGAGCCGTGTAAACAGCGCAAGAATATTTTTCAATGACAATGTCAGCATTTTTGTCACTCTAAACTTGGTGTGATATTTCAAACGCGAATTGCAGAGTTTTAAGCCGATGTTTTAACGGATGATGTGAACATGAAGAGGCGATTTCGTCCGACAATTGGAGGACTTGTTTTAGAAAATAAAGGTTTGTGAACGTGTATTTTATTGTAGTTTTATAAAATAAATTGATATGTACAAATATTATTCCATTTATTATATGTGCAGGGTAGCTTGAGATTTTTTTTAAAAAATGGCAAAAATCAGGTGTTTTAGTGATATCCAAGTGGGAAAAAGCAATATCCTAAAGGGGTTAGTAGGATATCTTGTGGGGTAACTTTCCAAATTTTTTATATCACAGGGGGGTTCTGTAGGGACCACTCAGTAGGGTGTGGTGCCTATATTAAATGGTCCATTTGGTTGCAATTTGTAAATAAGTACAATTGAGTGATCTGTGTATTTTTTTAATGTTCTTGCTATTAAAAAGTTCAAACATAAGCCATGACAGCTTATCGTAGAATACTACCTACACTGGACCACCACGTTTGAGATATCTTTGTCAGGTAGTTTAGACACAAACCACGACAGCCTATTCTGGAATACAAGAGATCTTAAGGAAGCAATATTTTTGTTAATTGGATGTCACATGTACAAAATCGAACTGTTAATTATGGCAACATCTGTTCTTGAAATACCGGTAATAAATGATGATTTTAAGGAAGAATGCTAGTGACCATCTTGTGCAGTTTGATTTTGTGCACCTGACAGTTAAGTTGAAAAAAAACATTGCATCCTTAAGATCCCTATCATTCTAGGGAACTCCAATAATGCAACTACATCAAACGACACAACATCCGCTCAGCCAACAAGGAGAGCTCGTTTCAAACCAAAAGTGGGGATAGTTGCACCCGCACAGAGATCTCCAGGAAAGACGTCAAAGCAAAAAACCGTTTCTGCAAAAGGTGCAAAGGATGCCAGTCACCAATCAACTGGTACAAAAACAGTGATTTCGCCAGTGAACAATGTGGGTACTGGTCGAACTTTGCATGCAAAAAGATCTGATGGCTCGCTCATAAATAAAAATACTGGTAATCAGCCGTCAACTGGTGATGATATTGAAAAAGCGGAAATAGCTCAACAGAAGATTGGGGTATGTTCGGATGAAGCTCAAGTATCTTTGGATAAAGCTCAGACACCTTTCTATAATGCTGAAGCATCGCTCATAAATAGAGATAGTGGTAGTCGGCTGTCAAGTGGTACCAGCAGAAGTACAGCGACAGCAAGAGTTGAAAATCAACCTTCAATTAGTCAGCAGTCGAATGGTTCTAAAACCAGTACCACACCATGCGAGAGTGTTGGTAACCAATCATCAGCTAACACCAGCACTGGTACTTCACCAGTAAATAAGGATGGTGATAGCCAACCATCAGTTGCTACCAACAAAATTACAGTAACAGCAACAGTTCATAGTCAATCTTCAGCTAATACTAGTATTGGTACAGCACAATGTGTTGGTGATGAACCTTTATCAAATACCAACAAAGATGCAGTAACTACAACTGTTGGTGGTCAACCATTCAATGGTGGTCAGCAATTACCTGGTGCTCAGGCTGGTTCTTCACAGATAAATAAAAATACTGGTAGTCAAACATCAAGTGATATAGATATGGTAACTGAAAGTGTTGCTGGTCAATTTTCATCTGTTGGTAAGACTAGTACCTTACCAGTGACAGGAAATGTCAATAGTCAACCATCAACTGCTCAGCTACCAGCAGATACTAACTCAGATGCAACACCTGTCAATAAAGACTTTGAAACTCAATCATTATCTAAGACCGATACCACACCGATCAATAAAAATGGTGCTGTAGCTAATCGACCATCAAGTGGTGGCCCAGTAAATACTGCAACTGTTGTTGGTCAAATTTCAACTGGTACCAACAAAGATGTGGTCGCAGTAAGCACAGACACTCAGAAAACGTCTTATTCACAAAATGAAGTTGCGGCTAATACCACTGCAACAACTCAACTAGTTAGACGGGCCAGAATCAGACCAAAGGTAGGATTAGTGTCCACTAAAACACCTGTAGCAAAAAGCTCTACGAGAACACAAGTTAAGAAAACAACGACCCCAGACCAGACTAATGTATTGCCCGCATCAGTGGCTATATCATCAAAAAATGCAGGCGCTGGGCAAACTTCAATAGACACTGCCAAAGAAACTCAAAATAGTAATGTTTCTTCTGTGAAAATTACAAACAATCAGCCATTAGCTGGTTCTATAACTAAAACCTCGACTAAGAACGCCACTGGCTTGCTGGAAACGAGTAAGGAACCTAATACATTGAAACGAACTACGCTGACAAGACGATCACGAATAACTCCAAATGTTGGTGAGAAAACTTCAAAGGCAGCAGTGCAAAGGACAGTTCCAGTAAGCCAGAGTACTAGTTGTGCCGAAGTACAATCAGATATTATATTACCAGACAGGGAAAATGGCAGCAAAACTAGCAACGAAAATGTTGATCAAAGTAATTCTAGTTGTGAGAAAGAACCAAATAGTGAAATCGGTAAGCCGTTAACTCGTACTATTACAGGGTCTGAAAATGCTGACGGCGCTGAGAGAAGCTCGACTCTTGTTGACCAGCCATTAAGTTCCACCATCAAAGAATCTGAAAATGTGAACATTGCTAGTTCTGAGAAGACTTCAAACATAGAACGGACACCAATCACCTCTGAGAAAGATTCGAGTAATATTGACCATTCTTCAAGTAGTACAAGTACAGCTTCTCAGAACCTACACGGCTCTGGTTCCGAGCACACTAAAAGTACCACCACCCCTCGGCTGACAAGAAGAAACAGGTTTAAATCACGAGGCGGAATTGTTGGTGGGTCAAGTGTACCAACAAATAGAACACAAGAAAAACCTAGCGCCGTGGTCAATAAACCAGCATCAAGCCGAAGTGTAAATGTGAATAATGCAGCTTCTGGACAAGGCTTGACAGTTGTGCAAGAGAAGTCAGTTTCTGGTGGAACCAAAAGTGCTCCGCAAAGTACAGTTTCACTGAATGAACGGTCGGAAAACAGGACTATTACCGAGCCGGGGGATGGAAATGCAATCGATAACGTTGTACCTACAAATGAGAATGCAAAACCTGCAGGACATGAACTACCAAGAAAAGAAACGAGGATATCAAATAGCATTATATCACACCATATTCAAGTCCAATTAAACCAAGCTAGTGATCCAAGCGTGGCTGACCACAGTACTTTGTTCACAAGTGAGGGATTAAGTGATAAAAGA